TGATTTTTTATTCAGTCTTCAACGATAGACGGTTTAAGCAGTTTAGGATGTTCTAAAAGAAATTATACATATAATATATTTAATATACATTATAAATATAAAATTACACAGAGTTGGTCATTAATACCTAACAGTTCGCGGTCGTTTGACCGCCGAACTCTGACCAATTTTTACCAATTGTTACAGACGAGGTGTAGCAGTGGTCGGAGGTGAAGGGTGTAGCAGACTAGCAGTGATCAGAGATGGGTGAAGAAGATGATGACTGGATGGAGGTGTATGTTTATCTACTTGGAGACCAAGAACACACATGATATCATTTTTCGTTTTTTAGAACACAAGAACACACACAAACCCAAAAATTTTAAAGAAAAAACCTGGAAATCGGAAACCCATAAATCTATTTCTAAAGAACAAATTCATAAACAAAATGAGTTTTGTGTGTTACGAGTATGTGTTCCAAAAAATAAATTGGTTGTTTGTTTGTGTACTTCATAGTGGATGTCGTGTGTTCGGGAGAGAGAGAGAGAGAGAGAGAGAGAGAGAGAGAGAGAGAGAGAGAGAGAGAGAGAGAGATTTTCTTTTTACTTTTTCTTTTTTATTTATGTTTAAAAAAAATTGTAATAGGGAAATTACCAAAGGCAATTATGTCTTTATAAAAAGTTTTGAAAAAATTGGATCAAACTCGCAAAAAAATCAAACATTTGGACTATTGGCGCGAGCTCAAACCTTTTTGGACCAAACTTACGAGTTGTGACATACCACAAAGACCATTTTTATAATTTTGTTAATAAAACGTTATTACATTCCCAAATGTCATTTGCATATATGTTCAATATAGGTTTATTGATATGCAGATGTATACATCAAATAAAATCATCAACTTCAATGGACCATCGTGTCAATATCATATGGTGCTCAAAACTATTCAATTCATCAAGGGTTCCGATAAAACACTCCAAACAAATAAACAAACAAATCATGTGTTGACTACATATGTTCATCATTAAGTTTCATATTACATCTCTAGTCAACACATGTTTTTCAAAATAGTATCCCTTTATAACCGTATTGTTCAAAATAGCATTTAAATACATCCATCATAATGATACACTTACTCATAAGCGAATATATATATATATATATATATATATATATATATATATATATATATATATATATATATATATATATATATATATCAGGTCAAAAGTATATAGACTCAATTCTTTTTCAAGATTCACTTAATGATGTCTTCTTAACCGGTATATACCGAACTTTTGTTTCAGCCCTTCATGTTTCAAACAGCTTTCAACTTGGTCCTTGCAGTTTCAGCCTTGTAACTTTTTACGCTGACGATACAACCCAAATCTTTAACTCCAGCTTCCAAGTCCACCAGTCATGTTTAGCTCATTTTAAATTTATAACACGATCACAAGTTCACTACACCTCAATTAGAACAATTTACATTCTTTTATTATTTATACCCATTACAAAATTAAGATTTGAGATAAGATTGGTATATATTTCAATAATAAGGTTCAAAACATTGTCTACAAAAAGTGTCGAATATCCTCTCGAGAGTCAAGAATTTTTATTAATTACCATATATTCCCTCTTTGGACAAATCTATGCAGCCTTTTTTTTCTAACAAATTGATAGAAAAATCTATCATATTCACACTCAAATTACTTATATTTTGAAAAATATCAAGTTTAACTGGAGGTGATATTTATACGCATAGGGTATTGTCTTCAATTAAAAGGAGAACATTTTTTACATTTAAAATAAATAATTATCGTAATACATAGAAACATTGTACATGTGTTTACAAATGCATTTAGGCTGCAGACAATGAAATGAGGAAACACAAGTGTTTGTGGGGTTACTACCACTACGCTGCTTGCAGTCACCACCACATATTGTCGCCACCTTGTTGATCACACGCATCGATCTCATTTCTTTATAATGAACAAACTTTATATTTTTGTATTTATTTGTTTATTTGATATATTCTGATCTCATACATTCAATTGGTCAAAGTTAAACAACAAAAGATAATTAATAGCTTTTTTCTTAAATGAAATGGTTTTTGGCTTTTTGCCACAAAATTATATTATATTTCCTAGAAAGAAAAAATCAAACTAGAATTTGGTATTACCAAAGAGGCAAGATAAATAACTTGTAGATTTTGTGTAGAAAAAGATGGAAATTCATATTAGATTTCCTAGAAAGAAAAAAGTTAATTTTTTTATCATCTGGAAAATGATTGATGGAACTCATCGAATTAAAATATAGTTTTATTTTAGTGTAGTGTTTTATTTTAAACGGTCCCCATAAATATGTAAGTCATATTCTTTGAAAACTACTATTATAAAATAGTTCAGTTTTAATATTTATTCTCAAATAAAATTAGTTACATGTTTTAATATCACGTGTATCTATAATGATGAAAATAATAACTGTGTTCATAGCAACATATTTCATAATATCAGAAATTAACTGCTTCAATTTAAACCGATAAATCTACTTAAACCTAACTTACGAATATCAGATATCCAACTGCAATTGGATCGAATTGGTTCCAAAATTTTAATATCTAAGTTGGATCGACCATCTAGATCCAATAAAAACTGAACCGATCAAATCTAATTATTATCCAACTAAATTTATCTAATGATATCTGTGATCATTATCCGGTTGCCATCCAATACTCCAATTACTATAAACTGTTAAAATTAATAGTTTATATATTTATCACGAAAGAATTTTTTTTTAATTACATTAGATAGAAATTTGGTATCCAATAAATAAAACCGATCCAAAACAAGACTCACTTATCTTGGTTTGTCGGTTAGAAACAATATGATTTGTATAAATAGTTGGAATATCATAATATAATAAAGTTTTTAATTTAAAAGTATAGAGGTTATTAATCCAATGAAGAACTAATATTTTGATAAGGAGTATCCATATTATTCTATGTTGATTTTAGAAGCAATACTTAAATGTTAGAATATATGATATTCGGGGAGGCAAATAAGTGCAAAGGAAATGTGTTTATTTACTGTGTTGACGCCTAAAGAAAGGGTGATTTTGGTATTGGAAACCTTTTTTACTTTGATAGGAGGGATGTAATGTATTTTTTGATTTGTATACATTTGGTCACTGAGTTTTTTTTCGTCCACATTTACCCCTTCAACTTGTTAAACTGTACACATTTAGTCTTTATGACCGGTTACTCCAGGTTAGCCGGGAAAAATAACTTAATAGGGTAATATATTTTTTCATTCTGTACACATTTAGTCCTTAATATTTTTGTACATATTTAGTCCTCAACATTTTTTTTGTTTCAAAATAAGTTTTTTTTGTATTCATTCAATACTTATGAATGATTTCTTTAGATTTTTCTCACGACATCTTACGTGAGACAATCAGTGATGAAGTGTTTGGGGTTGTTGATGCTTATGTTCAACGCGATCTCGACTGCTTGGTTGCGTAGGTCTTGTGGTTTGGTTTAGGTCTTGTATTCTGAACGTTGTAACTTCTTCATACGATATCAAATTTAACGATCTTTATATCCACGTGTTCATTTTTTCATTAAGATTACTCCCGTTAAAATGTAATATATTTTTACTTACGATTTTATAAAAAAAATAATAAATAAACATTCATACATGTATTCATAAAAAAACGTATGGACAGGAGCGGACACAGGAATACATATTAGGTGTTGCCGAAATGAAATAGGTGTTGCTGATACATGAAAAATAGGTATAAACGAAAAAAATTGAAAATTTTTCCACTGCGGACAGAAAAAATAGGTGTTGTCGATGCAACACCGGGACCAGACTAAATCCGCCCCTATGTATGGATATAAAAAACGTAAGTAAAAATATATTATTTTTTAATGAGAGTAATCAAAATGAAAGTTGTAGTAGACTAAAATACGAACGCATGGACATAAAGATCGTTCGCATGGATATAAAGATCGTTAAAATTCGAGATCATATGAAGAAGTTATGACGTTCAGAACACACACATGACCTAAGCAATCAAGTAGTTGAGATCACGATGGACATAAGCATCAAAATGCCCAAACACCTCATTAATGAATGTCCCACGTAATATTTCGTGAGAAAAAAATCTAAAGAAATCATTCGCAAGTATTGAATGAGTACAAAAACAAAAATGACTTATTTTACAAAAAAAAAATATTAAGGACTAAATGTGTACAAAAATATTAAGGACTAAATGTGTACAAAATGAAAAATATATTACCCCGTTAAGTCATTTTTACCGGTTAACCTGAAGTAGTCGGTCATAAGGACTGAATGTGTACAGTTTAACAAGTTGAATGGATAAATGTTGACGAAAAAAAAACTCAGTGACCAAATGTATACAAATCGAAAAAGACATTACCCTTTTAAGTCATTATCCCTTTGATAGGAATATAAATGGAAAAAAATATTTGATTTCTCTATCAATAATTAGATCAGTTAGATACGTTAGAAGTTCTATTCAGAAAATATATATTACGAACTAAAAAAAGTCTTAGCATAATTGCATGTTTAAACGTAAGTAATATTCAAAGATAGCTACTTAAAATATGAATATGACATACCATGTTCTTTTTAAAAATATTGTCATGATGTGTTAGTGTTAACCTTTACCAAAATATTTGATGACTAAAAGACATTATTACGTTATCATTTATTCCTTTTTATTTTTTATGGATGACAAAAACTTTTAATTCATAAATCTAAGATTGTAAAAATAGAAAATTTAAAAAAAGTGGGGCATTCCTCACTTGGTAATAGATTATGCTTTTCCTTCCACACCCACACATTTCTTAATACTATTTATTCTCGAATCATTCAACTTTACTACGCTACGCCCCCACTCAAAAACATCAAAATTTCACCCCTTTCCATATAAATTTTTTCCAATCTTTGACTTGTTGTTGGGTATCTTTGAATCCACCCACCACCACCACCACCACCATGGACGGAGGAGGAGGAGTCAGCGACCCCAATCTCAAGACTGACCGTGCTAGTGTTGGCGGCGTCGGCGGCGATGGAGGACCGGCCGTCGGTGTTCAGATCAATCAACGCCACTCTCATCGCAGGCTTCCTGATTTCCTCCAAAGCGTAAATCTCAAATACGTCAAATTAGGTTACCACTATCTCATCTCTCACTTATTGACCTTGTGTTTGATCCCTGTTATGATCATAATCTTAATCGAAGCATCTCAAATGAACCCTAATGACATTCGTCAATTATGGGTGCATCTACAATACAATCTCGTTAGTGTGATTGTATGTTCTACTGTTTTGGTATTCGGATCTACTGTCTACATCATGACCCGACCTAAACCCGTATACCTCGTTGATTACTCTTGCTATCGTGCACCGGATCACCTGAAAGCTCCATACGAACGATTCATGAAGCATTCTAGGTTAACCGGTGATTTTGATGAATCGTCTCTTGAGTTTCAAAGAAAGATCTTGGAAAGGTCTGGACTCGGTGAAGAAACTTATGTACCTGAAGCTATGCATTTTGTACCTCCACGTCCGTCCATGGCCGCCGCCAGGGAGGAGGCGGAGCAGGTTATGTACGGAGCTTTAGATAATCTGTTTTCCAGTACCGGAGTTAAACCAAAAGACATCGGCATCCTTGTGGTGAACTGTAGCTTGTTCAATCCGACTCCTTCTTTGTCTTCCATGATCGTTAACAAATACAAATTAAGAGGTAACATCCGGAGCTTCAATTTGGGCGGAATGGGATGCAGCGCCGGTGTGATTGCCATCGATCTTGCCAAGGATATGTTACAGGTTCACCGGAATACGTACGCCGTCGTTGTCAGCACCGAAAACATCACCCAAAATTGGTATTTCGGGAACAAAAAGTCCATGCTGATCCCCAATTGTTTGTTTCGAGTCGGGGGTTCTGCAGTTTTACTCTCCAACAAATCAATCGATAAAAGACGAGCAAAATACAAACTCGTTCATGTCGTCAGAACCCACCGTGGTGCAGATGAGAAAGCTTTCCGGTGCGTATATCAAGAACAAGACGCCGCCGGAAAAACTGGTGTCTCTTTATCAAAAGATCTCATGGCAATCGCCGGCGGCGCACTGAAAACCAACATCACAACTCTGGGCCCACTTGTTCTTCCAATCAGTGAACAGCTCCTTTTCTTCTGCACTTTAATAATAAAAAAATTCTTCAATAACAACATCAAACCCTACATTCCTGATTTCAAATTAGCTTTTGATCATTTCTGCATCCACGCTGGTGGTCGGGCTGTGATTGATGAGCTTGAGAAGAATCTGCAGCTATACCCGACACATGTTGAAGCGTCGCGAATGACACTTCATAGATTTGGGAACACTTCTTCAAGTTCAATTTGGTATGAATTGGCTTATATCGAAGCTAAAGGGAGGATGAAAAGAGGTCAACGGGTATGGCAGATTGCATTTGGGAGTGGGTTTAAATGCAACAGTGCGGTTTGGAAAGCGTTGCGAAATGTGAAACCGTCGCAAAATGGTCCATGGGATGATTGTATTGACAAGTATCCGGTTGAATTACTTTCGTAATTGGTTAAATTGGTTTCTGTGTTTTTTTGTTCTTCGTTAATTGTATTGGTTTTGATCATTTAAGTTAAATTTTTATTTCCAGTTTTATTTTCTTTTGGATAAGTTATTGATCTTGATCATGACATTGTTGCTCATTTTACTCAAATGATGTTTTCATGCTGTTTATCTTGTGGCCTTTCTTTCTTGGGCATTTCATCAAATACCTTGTGATCATACTATTGAAATGCAGCATCATACGCCTCTTTGGTTGTTCGATTGTTTATGTTTTCTGGTTTTTAATTTTGTTAGATGTTGGAAATTTGTACCAGTGCAAAAACATAAGTGCATACTCGTTAAAAATAGAATGATGAAATATATTATGAATAGTGACTAGTTTTGAGCATTTATTTTCATGTTAATATTTGGGGACCATTTGTGGTTGGTAGTGGTACAGGGGTACTTTTTAACTTTATGTTTTTCATGGCAATTTATGAACTTACAACTGCATTTTAATTGGATGTTTATTCCAGTTTTGAGAATAAATGCACATTTGAAATTCATTTTTGGGAAAGTTGGGTTCAACTCAAATTCTTATGACCAGATGTTTTTGTATAAAAGAGATAATTCAAAACTTATCAAATCATATAAACAAAATTGAGGTTGTCAAAATCCGAATCTTACATCTTATTATTTTACGTTTTATAAAATCATATTGGAATCAAAAAGATCTTATAAAAATAAAGTTTTTGGAAGATCTTGAATTGTATAGTAACCATTATAACTTGATCTTGATTAAAATATTGACGGTAAAATCAATTTTAACTTCTTAAGCAGTAATCATAATTCTTATAGATGAAACTGTAACAATGTTTTGCCTTAATTCAAAATGAATGGATGAAGTTGTAATTATCTATGAGGCTTCATGTAATATGCAATATGCAATGCTCGATTTAGGGTTGGATGTAAGGATTTTTAGACTCATCTTCTTGTTAAATGTATAATTTTTTAAGCAATGCATGAGACTTTAAGTAGAATGACGAGTTCCAAAATTTTAGAAAAATAAAACTTGACTTTAAAATAAAGACTAATGAAATGAGATCCGATATCTTAAGATCATAGTCGGGATCTAAATTATCAAATATAAATTTTGCTTCAGAATTTGTCCTAGTGCGAACAGGATCATGTTTATGCTTCTATAATATTAATATCTTAACATATTCCGAGATCTTAAAGACCATGAATAAAAGGATTTTGATTATTATTATTATTATTATTATTATTATTATTATTATTATTAATTGGTATTTTCAATATAGATAGGTATTTTTGTATTATCAATATAATTTTTTTTTTCGTATTTCCAATAAATGCATATTTTTTCGTATTATCAATATAAGTATTTTTTTTGTAGTTTCAGTATAAATATTTAAATACATACATTTTGTATTTTAAATATAAATACCTATATTTCGTATATCGATATAACTATGCATTTTTTCATATTTTCGATATAAACACATAGATTTCATATATATTTTACAAATACATATTATTTTGTATTATTCATTTATTAAACATGTAGGCCAAAATGTATTTTTACAACGCAAATCTTATTTATAGAGTAAAAATACATTGATTTATATTTAATAAGCATAAAAATAATTTTAAATACATAATTATATTTTTTATGATTTTGAAAGTATAAAAGATATAGATACATATCTTTAAAAATTTTCAAAAACATAAAAATATCTATTTGATGTGAATTATTAAAGCTATTTATATATTTAAAATGTATTTTGTTTGTGTATACACTTAAAGTGTTTTTACAATAAAATATATAAATATGTTTTCGGTTGTAAATTTTTTTTAAGTGTTCAAATATGCTTTTAAATACACAAATATCATTACAAATGTACTTTTATTTTAAAAATATGTATTTGTATTAATAATACGAAAAAACTCGTATTTATTGAAAATACAAAAAAAAAAGTTTTTATACTGATAATACAAAAAAAATATTTATACTGAAAATAAAAAAAATACATATTCAATACATGAATAATATAAAACACTTTTATATATATATATATATATATATATATATATATAATATATATATATATATATATATATATATATATATAAAAGTTGTCCGATTAGATTATATATTAAACTGAATGAGTTATTAACAAATTCATCAGATAGAAAACATGTTGGGTTGACAAGACGGAGGTTCCAGGTTCGAACGGCTTGCCTATTTCCTCCAATTTTCTTAAGTGAGAAGGAGGATGCTGATGTAGGCATCCATGTCAGCTAATCACGCCCGGTCAACGCACATGTGGTTTAGGATGACCGGTTTAACCTGTAAAAAGGCAAAATTGGAAAAAAAAAAAATTATAAGTTTGCAACATAAACGAACCAAAATTCCATCAAAAGGTAAAACCATAAATTTAAGACAAACTTAAGGTTTTTTATAATATTATCTCTTTTAAAAACTGTACCTAAAAAATCAAATGACCATAATGCATTTTTCTCCTTGTTGTGTGTTCATTTTTATGTTGTATTTTTCTCTTGTCTTGCCCTGTAATTGTACATTGTACTTTGTATTATGTTTCGGGTCCAGCTTTCCACCGGCTTTTTTTAATCTAATCTTTCGTTGCCTCTAAAAAATGCATCTCTCTTTTTTAATGAAAATAAAAATTCAGCAAAGCACGTGACAATAACTGCAATTTTCGTTATTATTTAATACGGGTGAAATTGATAGTAGCATAAACATGATTTATTATCAAACATATTAATTGTGAAATTTGAAAACGAGGGATGATAAAGAGGCCCACATGTTGGAGCTCCCTATTTGTGTTCTAAAAGTCGCGATTTAACAAAAAGATTCATACACCTAACATCAAATCTTCACCATACAAAACATGAGCCATTAAATGTGAGTGGAAAGAGTAAAACATGTTCTGTATCCTTTTGGGCTTTTGGCCTTTGGTTACCATTTATAAATATTTATCTCAAAACACTACTCCTTCATCCGTTCGTACATTTATGTTTTGGATGAAAGTATTTGTTATTTTCTTTTGTATATTTATTATAAAATATAAAATATTTATAGCTTTATTATTTTAATTTTGTTCAAAATGAATACTCATTTTAATTTATATTAAATTGAATTTTTTATTATTAATGTATTTAGTTTGAAAATTTAAATATGATGTTAAACTAAAAATAATTTTAAAAGTTTAAAAAATGTTTAAACATAATCTTAAATATAAAACTTACATCTTAATTAAACTAGATAATATCCAAAAAATTATATTTTAAATAAAAAATATTAAATAAAATAGTTTAAAATCAATTAACCATTATTGAAAATAACATTAAATCACTATATATATTTACCTAAAAATTACATAAAATAAACTCAAAAAAGGCACCGAACATATATTCAGTTTTTCTTTATTATAAATAAAAGTTAGAGTATTATTTGATAATGATTCTTATCATCATATTTAGTAACTAATTATTTATATAATGGTTTAAGTCATTTTTAGTCATTAGATTTTTGTGAATGTTTTATTTTAGTCATTTTAAATTACTATTGGTTACTGAATTTTTTTTTTCATTTTAGTCACTATGATCGTGATAATTGGTTTATAATATTGAACAACTTCATCGATGTTATAATTAGTCATCGAATTTTTCTAGATATTTTATTTTAGTCATTATATTTTTGTTTAAACTACCATTAGTCATTGAACTTGTTTAAAATTTCATTTTAATCAATCTACTTTGTTATTATCATTTTTAAAAATATAAAAATGAAAAAGAACTACTATTTTGTTTTTCATTTCCACAACAATTAGACTTGTTACATCAATTATTTTAGAGTAAACTATATGAATGATCCTTATAATTTAAGGTAGCGTAATCTTTTTTAACCCGGACAGTCTCCAGACTTTAAAAAACTATTTTGTCCTTTTCCATATCATTGCTTTTGTCGCCAAAAGAAATGCACCCAATCACCGTCGATAATTAGTTTCACTTTGGCCTCCTCCATAGAATTAAGACAACCATAAAACCTTTTACCCACATTTTGTTTGGTCGAATATGTTTGTGTTTGCAATTGCTTTATAGAAAACATAGCCCTTGTGTGTTGAAGGAGGATTGAGTCCCCAGACTCAAGCTGCTGGAAGAAGTTGTAGACTTGTTAGTGTTTTCAATTGATTCACACCTACCAAGATATTGTCCGATTTGGGCCTCTTAATACGAAGACTTGTAATAGTCTTTTTAAAGCCATTGGGATTGTATGAGTTACTATTGATGACAATAGTGATGAGGTGGATAAGGGCAAAATAGTATTTTTAAAGTCATTGTGACCGTTCAAGTTAAAAAAATTAAGGATTAAATATGTAAGCTACCCTAAATTACAAAGATTATTTGTATAATTTACTCTAAAACAATTGATGTGACAAGTTTAGTTGTAGAGAAAATACAAAAATATTAAGTTTTTTTTTATTTTAATAAATGATAATAAAAAATCAGAGTGACTAAAATGAAAAAAAAAATTCAATAATCAATGGTAGTTTAAAACAAAGCATAATGATTAAAATAAAACACTCATAAAAGTTCAATGTCTAATTGTTATACTAGCATGTTAGAGTGATTAATATATACACAAATAAACAAGTTTAATGACCAATAGCAGCTTAAAAAAATATAATAACAAAAATTAAACACTAAAAAAGATTCAATGACTAAAATGACCTAAACCTTTTATATAATTAAAAAACTTAATGAAAAATTATTCACATTTTAAGTCAACCCAACCCTATCTATTTAACCGATCTCTAAATTTGGTTTCCAAATCCCTCGATCTTCATCACGTTGCTACATATAAAATGGGTGCTGATTTTTCCACTGGGATTTTTTATACATATTTAAATTTATTGACAATTATACCCTTATACCCTATTTTAAGTTTTATGCTATATCCTTGTTTTTTTTACCAAAGGAAT